TGGCTCCTGACATCACCCCTTTTTTCATTTCTTAAAACAGCCAGATGAATCTCTGTTGCAAGCTTCTGAGTGCTCTGCCAAAGAGTTCTGATGATACAAGGGAGAATAACAACAATAATAATAATCAGTGCTATTGCAGCAATGTAACTAAAAATAGTAGACAAAATATTTTTGGAGAAGGTTTTAAAGAAATCACTGGCAGCTCCAGCAGCAGTAAAATCCAATCGAGAATGCTCTATTGTTCTAATCTGTCCCTGCAATCTATCTAAATCTAAACTTATGCTAGAGCTATTCTATACCCCTGAAATATGATTTTTAATTTTTTCCCAATTATAATCAGTCTCATTAACCTTTAAGGGTGTTACACAAATCCACCGGTAGTCTGCATGGCAGGACAGTGCTAATCTTACTTTTAGGGTTTGCAGTTCTGTTCCGATATGCATCACCACTTCCTCCAGAGCATCCACCTTCATCTCCAGTTCTCTGTCCACGACCTCTTGAACAGCCAAAGCCAAAGAGACACCCTTTGACATAGTATCAATATACTGTGCAGTATGTACCCGCCGGGTTAATGCAACTGCCACTGGCAAGAATGTAAAGCAAGCATAGCAATAAAAACCCTTTTAGGAGAGGCTGAAGATCCCTGTAGAGAAGCTATTTTCTGTGCTTGATGGCAAAGCGACTCATTTTGTCCCCATGTGGGTATGGAGGCTTGTTGAATTGCCCGCGCAGGACGTCCTGGTTGCAGGTCATGAGGCATCTGATCTTCATCCAAAGATAGATTACTGAGGTAAGCTTTAGAAACAAACTTAGAGTGTCTTTTTTAATAACTTAATTAAATCTGTTAGCAATATAACATAACAAGGAACTATCTCAGAAGTGAGTCTTAGTGAACACTAAAGCTTAATTAACAAAACTATAAACTTAGTTTAACAATTTACAAAACTTAATATTTAGTGATTTTTTAAATTATGGATATATTAACCCTGTAGCCAGGGAAGGCTTTAACCCATCAAATAAAAATGAGGTTTGTCAGGGAGCTGGGAAAAGCCAAGCGGCCGTCTTGGACCTCCCATAGCCCCGACTCTTTGATTTTCAGCTATTGTTCACCCATTTTTAATTACCCATTTAGGAGTAGACTGTCGCCATGTTTTAAGGACATTAGGATAGCACAGGTCTAACAGTGAGGGGTTATTTTTTGTAGAAGCAAAATGGGCTTTTACATGTACCATAATCTTAAATAGCACTTATTTACTTTACTAAAGTAACAAAAGATTTTAAAAACAAATATAAATCACTTAAAGGCAAAGAAATTCATAATCTATTATTGAAAGATTTATTTTAAGAAAACTTTGTTATCTTAACATAGAGAGTAGACTAAATTTCAGTCTGTTACCAATTTACCAGATAGCAAACAAACAAAATTTATCAGTTAATCTTAGAAAAGTGTTTTTTATAAATCTTGAAGAACTAGCAGTATTTTTCTGAAGGCATGAGAGTGAAACCATATAAGGCATGTTTAAAATCTAATTAAATTGTAATTGACAAAGTAGCCTGGTCATTGCTGTGACTTGTAACACTTTAACATGATAACTAAAATTATAACTGACAACATTTTACTAGGACATATCAGACTTTCATGAATTTCACATAATTTTTAGGATATCTATATAAGTAACATCAACCATACAATATAACCTGAGGAGATTTATCACTCCTCCAACAATATTTCCCATGCAATTTAACATGTCAAATGAACTCAGGTAGTTTAATAGCTCTTTGGGATGTCTCAGGGGCCCTCTGAAGCATCCCAAAGTCAGCTAGAAGTCAAGCTATTTAGGCAGTTTTGTCAGTAAATATCAAAAGGGTTTATAGTACTCTGTCAGGTAGAATCATATAGATCACTGTGAAATAATATATTTACTTAGCCAAAGTACAAAAGAAGATTTTAAAGGTAAACATAGAACAGATCACTTCAGAGGTAAAGAAACTTAAAATCCATTATCAAAGGCAGTTCATCATCTCAAGAAAACTTTTATTTATACACAAAACTCTTCCCTTGGATTGCACTTTTCATCAAACCTTCTTAACACTTTCTGTACCCATTACTTTGTTCTCCCATCCTGAAACAGCCACCTGTAAGTCAGACTTACTTCCTTTTCCTTCATAAAATGTAACTTCATTCCTCATACCTTCTTTACTGAACACACACTTCTTACTTTCCTTAAGCAACCAAGAATCGACTTTTATATTAGCATTCTATAGATTGGTGAACATAAATACCAGTGACAATTTCTAAAAAAATTTTAGCAGACATCTCAGGATGGCATCAAACATTATTCATTTGTAGTCCCAAATCTCTTTAGTTTTTCTGTAAAGAGAAATCAGTGTTTAGTAGTAAATGTTTCAAAATCTTATTTTATTTGGAAATGACCTAATTATTTAATAAACTTCCAATACTTAGTTTAGCACAACCCTTAGAAATTCAAGTTATGCCAATCTGGAGAGACTATTGTAGACATGTATTTTTAAAGAATAATTATTCTTAACAGAGTTTATAAAAAAGTTGAAATAAATAAAAATTTTAAAGGCTTTTCAGATTCTTGCATCCAGGACTAGGGGACTAGAAAAACGGGAAGGATAGGGAGGGCTAAGGAGAGGAAAGAGAGAGGGAAGGGGAGAGAGGTCAATAAAGTCTCTTGTTCCCTACCGGTTGGTCGGGGCACTCTGGTTTTTGTTTTATGTTAGATAGGGAAGAGGTTAATTCTTTTCCTTGAGGCAAGGAATGCCCGGCCATGAGAGCACAAGTTGTCACTTGCTCTAAGGCCTTTTTATCTAAATTCATCTGATTTCTGGCTGATGCAAATTCATCAGTTCCTGCCAGGATTTCCTGCACAATATGTTGTGGACCATATTTGCAGTTATCTCTAGCTTGCTTACAGTCCAAATCCTCATATTCAGTTCTCCAAAGTAGATATTTTCCTCCAGATAAACAAGCCTTAGAAACTGTCTTCCAATCATATGCGGTCATCCATCTAGCTGCCAAAGCGTCCAATGGTGTTAAAGTATATGGGGCTGTAGCCCCATATGAGGCACAAGCCTGTTTGAGTTCCTTAATCAATTTTATTGGAAGAGGCTCCCAAGAGGGGCCCTCCTCATCCTCTGAATCAAGTAATACAGGAAAGCAAGCCTCAAGATGCAGGTCAAAATCATCTCCAGGCCCTGAAAGCACCCTTCTTTGCAAAAAGTCCAAGGGAGGACCCTTACCCCTATAGGGAGGGGGAGACATGGGGGGTCGACATCACCCCATGCTTTTTTTTACCCTGTTCTAAGGATGCTTTAGGAATTTTAAGATTGAATTTTACAGAAGGCCTAATGGGAGATGTATCTCTTAAACTTCTAGGAGTGTCTGGCAAAAAAGGACCAATCCTCATCAGAATGATAACAAGCTGCTGCTTCTTCTAAATCTTCCTCATCTTGGGGTGAAAGCTGTTTTTCTTTTTCTTCCCCACCTTCTGGATGACTATTGATGTTCATAGCAGCTAACATTTGTTTTAACTGTTGATAGCTCAGTTTGGGCTCATCATCATCCTTATTTTCTTTAACTTTTACTCTTTCAGATTCATGAGTTGGATCTAAGGTACCTCTAAACCATACTCCACAGGGAGAAGGTATCAGTGGGCACCCTCTCCGGTCCATGTAGAGTATAATAATCTCTTAACTGTTTTCCCACCTTTTCCCATGTATTTAAGTTAACAGTGCCTTCTTCTGGGAACCAAGGGCATTGCTCCTGTACAAATGTGAAAAAAGATTGAATGCTGGCTTTTTTTTACTTTAATACCTCTCTTGTTTAATAGTTGTAATATCACCCCAATAAAAAGTTGCCTTTCTTTCGACTCACTGTTACCCATTTTGTTAGTAATTAGAAGAAGAAAAAGGAGAGGATCTTAATTTTAGAAAAGAAGGAAGCTGAAACCTACCCACTTTTTTACCCTGCCTTTCTTATGTAGGGGGGCCTATAACGCCCTAGTGGGGTCCTACCTGAAACCTACCCACATTTTTCGCCCTACCTTTCTTATGTAGGGGGGCCCTGTAGTGCCCTAGTGGGGTCCTACCCATCCTCCTTACCCTGCCTGTCTTATGCAGGGGGGACCTTGACGCCCTGGTGGGGTCCTAGCCGTCCCGAAAACTGGACAATGAGAGACTTACCTTTGGGTCCCTGTTCGGGCGCCACTTGCCAGGGTCCAGCCCCAGCAGAATCAAGGCTACCTTCAGGATGAACGGCGTCGGCGAGAGAGAGAGAGAGACCAGACCGGGAAGTGCAGCAGAGTCTGGCAATGCTTTATTTTTTACCATAGCTTTTATATCCTAAGTTAGTACATTTCCAAGGGGAGGTGAAAGATAAGCATACAAAGTTTAGTTTAATATTACACCAATTTTGTCCTTCACGAAACCAGGGTGTTTTCTGCATACTTCTTTGTTCATGAGAGTCTTCTTTCATAGTGGATCTTTGTACATTATCTTCTGGCCTTGGGGCCTTTAACATTTTATAACCTAGGTGAAGGCAAAACTGTTTTCCGTAGTCTATTCTTTATTGTTCTATTTTGCCTTGAGTTTAGCAGAAAACAGAAAAGTTGGAGTCTCATGGTACAGCAGGTTGCAACATAGTAGAAATACAATCCTGTTAATGCAAGTGTCAGCCTTTTTTGCAAAAGTTCTCAGCTATTTATCTAAAAAGTTTAGTACACAAAGACTCTGTGGTTCTAATGAGGCAGCCTCTGTTTTAGCACTCTTGATTAAAATTTACAATTATCTTATTGTTTCCACACTAGGGCTAAACTCTTATTTTTCTAAATCCTTAACTATATTAACAATAGTTTTTACTGCACAACCTCAGCACATTAACAGCAATCAAACGTTGATCTAATGACCACTCTTAGAATAATATTTTTTGTATTCTCTAATAGGACTTTCTCACCCCCCAAAGGGCTCTGTGCCTATCAGGGCCTTTTGTGATCAGGTTCTTTATGCTGTTTATGATTAAGGTGTTGTGAGCAGTCATGTGCATTAGTACGCATCTGCCAAACAAGCCAGAGTGCCAGCAAAAGGGTTCTTCCTTGAAACATTTCCTTCATTCCTGGCCCCTTCATAGGGAACCAGCGTCCAGGAGATTTATTAATTAGGGTTCTATGTTGGTCTTTATTTAGTGAAAGAGGAGCAGGAGAGCTCTCGGCAGGCAACGCAAAGATCTGCAACAGGACGGCGGACAAGGACAACAGCAAGAGGGGGAGGCTACAGGGTGGGGTAGAGGCCGGGGTCAACCTGGAGGGTCCCTTGTAGCCTGAACAGCCTTGCGTTTCAGGTCTTCTCTTCATGACCGTGTCATGGGTGGGATCTCCCATAATGGCTCCCAACAGTGGGATCTGTTACTTTCCCCATGTCACAGGTGAAAGTGAAACTCCAGCTCAGTCATGTTTGACTCTTTGTGACCCCCTGGACCATAAACCTGCCAGGCTCCTCTGTCCATGGAATTCTTCAGGCAAATATACTGGAGTGGGTTGCCATTTCCTTCTCCAGGGGATCTTCCCAACCGAGGAATTGAACCCAGATCTCCTGCATTGCAGATGGGACTCTTCACCATCTGAGCCACTGGGGAATGTCACAGGTTAGGAAGCCAAAGATGCTTAGAGACATTAATCAGTTCAGTTCAGTTCAGTTCAGTCGCTCAGTCATGTCTGACTCTTTGCAACCCCATGAACTGCACCACGCCAGGCCTCCCTGTCCATCACCAACTCCCAGAGTTGACTCAAACTCATGCCCATCGAGTCGGTGATGCCATCCAGCCATCTCATCCTCTGTTGTCCCCTCCTCCTCCTGCCCACAATCCCTCCCAGCATCAGGGTCTTTTCCAGTGAGTCAACTCTTTGCATGAGGTGGCCACAGTATTGGAGTTTCAGCTTCAGCATCAGTCCTTCCAATGAATACCCAGGACTGATCTCCTTTAGGATGGACTGGTTGGATCTCCTTGCAGTTCAAGGGACTCTCAAAAGTCTTCTCCAACACCACAGTTCAAAAGCATCAATTTTTCGGCGCTCAGCTTTCTTCACAGTCCAATTTTCACATCCATACATGACCACAGGAAAAACCATAGCCTTGACTAGACGGATCTTTGTTGGCGAAGTAATGTCTCTGCTTTTTAATATGCTGTCTAGGTTGGTCATAACTTTCCTTCCAAGGAGTGAGCATCTTCTAATTTCATGGCTGTAATCACCATCTGCAGAGATTTTGGAACCCAAAAAAATAAAGTCTGACACTGTTTCCACTGTTTCCCCATCTATTTCCCATGAGGTGATGGGACCAGATGCCATGATCTTAGTTTTCTGAATGTTAAGCTTTAAGCCAACTTTTTCACTCTCCTCTTTCACTTTCATCAAGAGGCTTTTGAGTTCCTCTTCACTCTCTGCCATAAGGGTGGTGTCATCTGCATATCTGAGGTTATTGATATTTCTCCCGGCAATCTTGATTCCAGCTTGTGCTTCTTCCAGCCCAGCGTTTCTCATGATGTACTCTGCATAGAAGTTAAATAAGCAGGGTGACAATATACAGCCTTGACGTACTCCTTTTCCTATTTGGTACCAGTCTGTTGTTCCATGTCCAGTTCTAACTGTTGCTTCTTGACCTGCATACAGGTTTCTCAAGAGGCAGGTCAGGTGGTCTGGTATTCCCATCTCTTTCAGAATTTTCCACAGTTTACTGTGATCCACACAATCGAAGGCTTTGGCATAGTCAATAAAGCAGAAATAGATGTTTTTCTGGAACTCTCTTGCTTTTTCAATGATCCAGCAGATGTTGGCAATTTGATCTCTGGTTCCTCTGCCTTTTCTAAAACCAGCTTGAACATCTGGAAGTTCTTGGTTCACGTATTGCTGAAGCCTGGCTTGGAGAATTTTGAGCATTAGTTTATTATCGTGAGAGATGAGTGCAATTGTGTGGTAGTTTGAGCATTCTTTGGGATTGCCTTTCTTAGGGATTGGAATGAAAACTGACCTTTTCCAGTCCTGTGGTCACTGCTGAACTTTCCAAATTTGCTGACATATTGAGTGCAGCACTTTCACAGCATCATCTTTCAGGATTTGAAATAGCTCGACTGGAATTCCATCACATCCACTAGCTTTGTTCGTAGTGATGCTTTCTAAGGCCCACTTGACTTCACATTCCAGAATGTCTGGCTCTAGGTGAGTGATCATAGCATTGTGTTTATCTGGATTGTGAAGATCTTTTTTGTACAGTTCTTCTGTGTATTCTTGCCACCTCTTAATATCTTCTGCTTCTGTTAGGTCCATACCATTTCTGTCCTTTATCGAACCCATGTTTGCCTGAAATGTTCCCTTGATATCTCTAATTTTCTTGAAGAGATCTCTACTCTTTCCCATTCTGTTGTTTTCCTCTATTTCTCTGCATTGATCGCTGAGGAAGGCTTTCTTATCTCTCCTGGCTATTCTTTGGAACTCTGCATTCAAATGGGAATATCTTTCCTTTTCTCCTTTGCTTTTCACTTCTCTTCTTCTCACAGCTATTTGTAAGGCCTCCTCAGACAACCATTTTGCCTTTTTGCATTTCTTTTCCATGGGGATGGTCTTGATCCCTGTCTCCTGTACAATGTCACAAACCTCCTTCCATAGTTCATCAGGCTCTCTGTCTATCAGATCTAGTCCCCTAAATCTATTTCTCACTTCCACTGTATAGTCATAAGGGATTAGATTTAGGTCACACCTGAATGGTCTAGTGGTTTTCCCTACTTTCTTCAGTTTAAGTCTGAATTTGGCAATAAGGAGTTCATGATCTGAGCCACAGTCAGCTCCTGGTCTTGTTTTTGCTGACTGTATAGAGCTTCTCCATCTTTGGTTGAAAAGAATATAATCAGTCTGACTTCGGTGTTGACCATCTGGTGATGTCCATGTGTAGAGTCTTCTCTTGTGTTGTTGGAAGAGTGTGTTTGCTATGACCAGTGCGTTCTCTTGGCAAAACTCTATTAGCCTTTGCCCTGCTTCATTCCATACTCCAAAGCCAAATTTGCCTGTTACTCCAGGTGTTTCTTGACTTCCTCCTTCTGTATTCCAGTCCCCTATAATGAAAAGGACATCTTTTTTGGGTGTTAGTTCCAAAAGGTCTTGTAGGTCTTCATAGGACTGTTCAACTTCAGCTTCTTCAGCATTACTGGTTGGGGCATAGGCTTGGATTACCGTGATATTGAATGGTTTGCCTTGGAAATGAACAGAGATCATTCTGTCATATTTGAGATTGCATCCAAGTACTGCATTTCAGACTCTTTTGTTGACCATGATGGCTATTCCATTTCTTCTAAGGGATTCCTGCCCACAGTAGTAGATATAATGGTCATCGGAGTTAAATTCACCCATTCCACTCCATTTTAGTTCGCTGATTCCTAGAATTTCAACATTCAGTCTTGCCATCTCCTGTTTGACCACTTTCAATTTGCCTTGATTCATGGACCTAACATTCCAGGTTCCTATGCAATATTGCTCTTTACAGCATCGGACCTTGCTTCTATCACCAGTCGCATCCATAACTGGGTATTGTTTTGCCCTTCATTCTTTCTGGAGTTATTTCTCCATTGATTTCCGTTAGCATATTGGGCACCTAACGACCTGGGGAGTTCCTCTTTCAGTATCCTATCATTTTGCCTTCTCATGCTGTTCATGGGGTTCTCATGGCAAGAATACTGAAGTGGTTTGCCATTCCCTTCTCTAGTGGACCACATTGTGTCAGACCTCTCCACCATGACCCGACCGTCTTGGGTGGCCCCACACGGCATGGCTTGGTTTCATTGAGTTAGACAGGACTGTAGTCCTGTGATCAGATTGGCTAGTTTTCTGTAATTATGGTTTTAGTGTGTCTGTCCTCTGATGCCCTCTGGCAACACCTACCATCTTACTTGGGTTTCTCTTACCTCGGATGTGGGGTATCTCTTCATGGCTGCTCCAGCAAAGCGCAGCCGCTGCGCCTTACCTTGGCGGAGGGGTATCTTCTCCTGACCTTGAACGTGGAGTAGTTCTTCTCAGCCCTCCTGCGCCCCGCAGCAGCCGCTCCTTGGAACTGGGGTAGCTCCTCTCGGCCGCCGCCCCTGCCCTCGGGCGTGTGGTAGCTCCTCTCGGCCGCCGCCCCTGCCCTCGGGCGTGTGGTAGCTCCTCTCGGCCGCCGCCCCTGCTCTCCGGCATGGGGAAACTCCTCTCGGCCGCAGCTCCTGAGCTGTCGCAGCCTGACGCTCTCGGCTGTTGCTACCCCTGACCCTGGGCGAGGGGTAGCTCCTCACGGCCACGCTTGTGCGCGGTCCATCGCAGCCGGCGCGCTTCTATTAAGAGACTTACCTAAAGCCATGAAGGAAGGAAGTGGTGATCCCCCTAGGACCGAACTTCAAATTTGTCTGACATGGGAACCCCCAGACTTAATCACCATGCAGTGGGCTCATGTTTTCCTGTTCAGATTCAGAGATAAGGGCCCAGAAAATTAAGTGAATTTGCCCAGGGCTATAGCTGTGGCCAGTAGCCACTAGAGAGTTATTCGTTATAAACCTAACCAGCAGCTTGGAAATCTGTCCCGCGGAGCGCATTCCGTCCCAACCTCAGACACTATTCAGAGTCCTCTGTCTCCAAGGCCCAGGGTAACCCTGGAGCCATCTCCACTGATGAGTTTCAGTCTGTTAGTACTGCCAGTGTTCACGGCTCCACTTCCAGCCCGGGAATCTTCTGCAAGCCGGAAGCCATCCAGGGAACACAGGTTCTCAAAAAGGACGAGAGAGGACTGAGTAATCCTTCAAAAATGGCCACAGGGGAACTTTCTCTTGCAAAAGAGTTGGCCACAACTGAGTGACTAAACAACAACAACTGCTTGCTAATCTTGCTTTTTAAGGACAGCGATCTGGTCTCAAACTCATCTTGCCTGGGTCCCAGTATCTAGCTGGAATGAAATAACGTCAGAAGGTAGACATTGTTATCTTCTGTTTAATGAGTTGAAACAGATTTTCCAGTTACAGCAAAGATATAAAAGTTCCCTTTTTAATGAGAAGTACTTAAGAATGAAAGTGTACTTAAAGAAAATAACTGAGTTGATAATAGCACAGCCTGGTCTAGAGATCTGATAGAAATCACAAAGCTGACATTCCAGCCAGAGGGATTTGGGCGCCACGGAGTTGGAACCAGCCGGCATGAAGGTATCTCTTGTTACCATAACTGCGGCATCAGGCTGCCCTGTGCTGCCCGTGTCATCATCAGTTACATGCTGTGTCTTTGTAATTCACCGATAATACCTGTCTCCTGAGAAACCTGTATGTGGGTCAAGAAGCAACAGTCAGAACCCTCTATGGAACAACTGACTGGTTCAG